AGTTGATTAACAATACTCTTTATTTCATTCAGATGTTCTGGAATAGGGCTGCCCTCTTTATATTTTAAATTAACCAACTTATGAAACAGAAAAACTTTATTTGTGACTGATTTCCTATTATAAAGGCCTTCTAATTTTTTTCATAAATCATGTGCTGAAGTTTCAGTAGCAACATGATGAAACACACTATCATCAATCCATTGACGGATAACACCAACGGCTTTTCGATTAAGCCTATTCCATTTATCATCTTTCATACACTTGGGTTTGCCACTATCACCCTCAATGGGTCCATACAAATCTTTACAAAATAATAGGTCCTCCATTTTAGTTTTCCAAGTTATCCAATTACTTCCATTGAAGCTAGACATGCGACGCACATTCCCCTCCATTGATTTACACAAATAAATAAATCTCAATAAATCGTAAGCTCTGATACCAGTTGTTAAGGAAAATATGTTCATTGCTTTTATCATTTTGAAAATAAATCGTATGTTCATTGTTTTGAAAATTCTTCAATTCAGGGACACTCGGGCTTATATGGACAGAGAGATGGCGAAAGAAATGTGCAGAATCTGGGGAGTGTCAGAGGTCGGAAGAGTTGATTACAAAATCATTTATTGTGGGAAACTTAAGAGTCCTAATTTGAAGAGTAAGGTCATGAAATGAGATGGTATTAAACATGAATTTAGTGCAGAGATTGTGATTTTAAGAACTCTAAAAATGAGTGTACCGAATCAAATGAAGCAAGTAGTCCAATCGAGGTTTGTGAGTGATGGATGATGATGATGATACCGACTTCAATCAGCTGTATATAAACCATGCAATGGTAGAGAGAGAGTAGGAATTAAGGAAAATGCTATAGAGAGGTTCATAAATCACGCATTTATGATTGAAGAGAAACACGGTGGATTTGGCTCAAATCCTAAAAAAGGAAAATAAAATAATGTGGTGTGTGTACAAATTATGAGTTAACGCTATAATTAAAACATTTAATGTGTGGAATGAGAATAACAATATATGATTAAATTCATATGCGTGTGAACTGAGATATAATGTGTATAGAGACTAAAAAAGTGTATAGAAATAGAATTTCTCATAATGTTGTCACTCTTGTAACTTGTAAGAGTTAGAAAATTAGGTATTTATGAGATGATCCTATTTATCAAATTTATTTACTTATAAGTTCTACTCTTCTTTTTTTTTTCACTGATTATTATCCCTAATAAGTGTTGGGGTAAAATAAATATTTTATGACTTATTGGTGTATTAAAAAAGTATACATGACTTATAAGTAATTATCACATAGGTCTATCACATAATTTTTCCAAAAAAATATAGCATGTTGTAAATCTTTAAAAACAAATAATAAAGAAATATATAAATATAAGGGAAATGTTTTAAGGTCCCTGATATTAAGATTTTATAAGATAAATGATATACAATATTTTTATAGTAGTTAAGATTCCTTAACATTTTCACAGAGAAAATTTGATTTAGAGAAATTTTGTCCGACTCAGAGAAATTTCAATTTTTACAGAGAAATTTTAAAATTTCTTTGTGATTATACCAGAGAAATTTCTCTGAGTCGGGGCTGAAATTTCTCTAAGTCAGGTAAAATTTCTCTATGTCAAATTTTTTGTGTGAAAATATTGATGGATCTTAGCTAATAAAAACAAATATATTGGACCACTCTTACTACACAAAGTTGAAGAGGGATGTTTCAATAATTTTTTCTAAATATAAATATGCGTTTATAGAAGTACAATTATTTTAAACATTTAATTATGTAAGAAGACATATAAATAATATTAAAAAATAGAGGTCTTGTTAACAAGTGATTTTGGAAATTACATTAATCGCATCTAAAATGATTGTACAATTTTTATTATATTAACTTTTATGCAGAATGTACAATTTTTAAATTTCTCAAAAACCTTAAGGGCATACATTAACAAAATCTTATAAGTTTAAGGTGTTTGTTGTGATAATGCGCAGCTTTGAAAGAATCGTTTGTTTTTTTTTTTAAAGTTTATCAACAAAAAAAATAAAAATAAAAATATGTTCTAAAAATGAGCCATATACTCTACTAAGAAGAGGAATAGACCAAATGAATTTGAATGTCGACACAATGCTGACGCGATACTCATATGATATGAATAAAATAGTTTTTATTTATTTATTTTTATTTTATTTTTTTATCAAAGATAACGTTAATATGTTAGTAAAATTATAGTAAAATTTAAAGATTTGTTACTACTCCATCAGCTTTAATCTCTAACTTCTTACTCATTATATCCTAAAGTGTGACTATGAGACCATTAGACAATACCCCAATATCTCAATAAAATAACTTTTAGTTACCAAAAAAGAATAGCTTTCGAAAGAGGAAAGTTCATGTTTTTATTATTATTTTTCGACTTTGCTAAGGTAAGTTGCTAAATGGGAGGTCATTTTTCACTAGAATTGATTTAAAATTAGAATTCTAGGTGAGATGGTAAGATTCTATTTTTTTTTGGTACAAAATAAGATAAAAAACAGGTTTGCCAAATATATATATATATATATATATATAATTAACAAATTCTACTTTACTTTGAAAATTACTTTTAAGTCTTGTCATATTTTAATATAGACAATTAAATTTAATTTACCATTAGTAATTTGATGTTTTTTCACTGCACTAATGATGCCATTGATCGGGCGCAAATTTAATAAGGACGATTAAATTTAATTTGCCATTAGTAATTTGATTTTTTTTCATTGCGCTAATGATGCCATTGATCGGGCGCAAACGAGCTGAACTTTTGAGTGTTCAAACTTGTTTATCATGAATTACTTCAGCTCGAGTTCGAACTGAGCCCGAGTCGAGGCTAAATAATCACGCTTGAGCTCGGTCTATTTAAGAAACTTGAACTCAACTCAAGCCAACTCGATTACATAAATACAACGAGCTCAAGCTTGAGCTTGAAAAAAATAATTAAACTAAAATTAATTTACTTTTTAAGCTAAAAAATAAAAGATTATGAGCAAAATATACAAAAAAATACTCACATTAATAATAAATTTTATTAATCAAGTATATAAATTTACACAAAATATATAAATCTTCCTGAGAGTTCAATTAAGCCGTGTTTGGATTATGAATTTAAGTAAGGATTTAAAAAGTGATAAAAAAAAATGCGTAAAAAGTATGAAAAATATTATTATATTTTACTCATATTTTTCCTTTCTCTTTACAAATGTCTATCAAAATTTATGAAACAAACGCAAGCTTAATGATTAAGAATCTCTTATGAATTATGTTGAATTGGGTTCCTGGTTTTTGATGCATGGGGGCTCTGTACAGTGACCCAACCGAACCCAACCCAACGCATCCCATCGCTCCTCAAACAAAATTCAAACTGCAAACCAGCCCATCTAGCAGTGGATCAGCTATCGTTATCAGGTTATTGGCCTAGCCTGTTTACGCCCATCAGGCCCATCATATTAGCTGGAGGGCCCATATGCTCATGCACCTTCGTGGTCCCCTCAGTTAGGTCTGGTTTGATAACTCAATCTTTTAATTAAAATATCAAAAAACTATTAAAAAATTTAAAAGTTAACCATTTATATTAAAAAGTTTTAAAAAAAAATTCTATTTACTTTTTGTATATTTTTTTTATAAAAAATCAAAAAATTATTTTAAATATATTAATTGTTTTACTTAATATTTAATTAAAAAATTATTAAAATAATATATTCTTAAACGAAATCTCAACCAATAATTCACCAAAGATTCAATAAAATAAAAACAAATAAATTGAGGATCATCAAACGAGCGAACAAAGATCTTCCTTGTACTGCATGTACTACAACAGCTACGACCTACTTAAAAAGTGCCCAATCACATATGTACTACTTCTACTACTCTTGTCTAATAATTCATGAAAAAATGTTTAAGGGTCATAATTTTTGTGGTCATAATGGCTTAAAACTGTCAAAACGATGTCGTTTTGAGTGCAAAACATGCCAAAACGACGTCGTTTTGACAGTTTTGAGCCATTGTGATCACAAAAATTGTGGCCCTCTAGCATTGTTGTAATTCATGCTCGATACTATTTATAATTTACTTTCTCTAGATATATATTTTTTTATAATTCTTATTATGCTTCTGTTTGGAAAGTGGGCTGATTTTTTGATTTTTTGGCTTTTTTAGTTATTTTAACTTAAGCTAAAAAGTTTGATTTGAGAAGGACTTTTTGAATTTTTGACTTTTTTGACTTTTTTTTTTGTGAGAGAAGAATGTAATGATTATGGGTTGGATGTGATATTTTATTTTTTGTGGCTAAAATAACTTATTTTATCTTTTGTGGCTAAAATAGCCAAAAAAAACCTTTTTGGCTCTTGCCAAACAGAGCCATATATAGTTATTATTCTTATTTTATTTTATTCTAAATATATTTTTATTTTATGCATAATAAAGATAAAGAATAAATGTATTTAGAACAAAATAAATTGAGAATAACAACTGCCTTATAATTTTGGTACTAAATCTTCTGATATTTATTTTTATTTTTTTAATATTTCAAAATACTCACATATTTAATTAATGTAAATAATTTAAGATAGAGAAACAAATCACTTGATTACATTCATTTTTTTAAAAGATAAATATAAATTAATTAATTTTTGTCACATATATAATAACCTATAATATAAACGGATTAGAATATCAAAATTAGATTACAATCGGGCAAAAAGCCCAAACTACACTGCTCACAATAGTCTATAATATAAACAAATTAGATCATCAAAATTTCTATCCATAAAACTCAAATAGTGTCATTTTTGTAATTTTTTTTTGAACGACAAAAATTAGTTGCTAATTATGAAAGTTGGTTTACTTTCTTAATTCAACTACTTTAGGAAAATTGAACCCATAATTGGTTGTGTGATTTCTGTAATCTAAAAGCACACTACCAAATCTTTTTAATTGAAATAGAAATCACAGAAGATCATTATGTATAAAAATTCTATTGGTATAATATTAATTTTGTTTGAAAGATTTGGTTTATCTATGCGTAATATCACAACTTTGCATCTAAAACATTCACTGAACTTTTTTACATAGTGAAACAGCCACCATTGCTAGTTCTAACTACAGCAACTTTCACCGCCGGAGCAACAGTTGTGTAACCAACAGCCTCCCATCTCCGGTGAGCCGACGGCCTCGGAAGGTTCTCCGGCACGACGGTCTCCAATGCATTCTCTCGCCACGGTGGACACCTTCTCTTGTCGCTCCATCTATTACCCTTCTGGTTTGGTTCAACAACTAGTACTGGCTTCATATTCTGATCATCAATGGCCATGCTTTCATTGCCCATTGTTAAATTGTCAATTTCAAGCCCAATTATGATACATGTCAACCCCAATACGCATTGGCTTCTCCATGATCTTTCCTTCTTTGGCCTTCATACACATATATTATAAGTATCCCACAATACAAAATTCAAGGACAATCTACCAACACAAAATGTAATTATGTGTAAGGGGAGACAATATATGTATTTGGGATTAGTTGGGGGTAAAGTTTCAGATGAATCAAGATCACCTAATCTCTTTTATGTCTCATTTTCTATTCTGTAAAAATTTTAAGGAGATAAAGAATGATACATGAAAGGAATAGATGATCTGAATTCCAAAAAATAGAAGGTAATTTCATAACTTGTGGTTAGATGAACAATTATTTAAAAACAATGATATACAAATACAAAGTGTGTAGAAAAAAATTACTAAGGGATGAAGTGCTTAATTTGTGGACATAATTCATTTTAAAATAAAAATAAAAAACATCAAGATTTTTTTTTATGATTTACAAAAGACCACTATATGATGAAATGGTTTTATTAAAAAAAGGGAGAAGAATATATAACACGACAGTAAAAAGAACATGAAAATGAGTGCAGGTAGCGCATGTTAGCAAAAGAGCATATGGTTGATGCTATAGTGCACCGGTGAAAAGGATAACTTACCATGCAACCTGGGTTGTCTTTGCAGTGAGGGAAGATGGGCTAGAGGTAGGAGGGGGAGGGGAGAGATTGAGGCAGCAACTGCTTGATATGGCCATTCTCTCTCTCTCTCTCTCTCTCTCTGAATTGTAATAGTTGCAAAGACGAGGAGGAGTGCTTGAGTTATATAGCATGGTGCGCATGTTAAAAGTGAACAGTTTGGTTACGGTAAGTGGGACAAGGACCTCAGCGGTGGCTCCTTGGGTTAGTATTATGTAACACGTGGGGTTGGACCCTCCTCCAATCAAGGAGACGGCAGACCGACTCTAAACCCCGTTAGCAAAAAATGACTGGTAAGTAAAACAAAAACTAAAAAAAGAAAATTTATTTTTTAATCAATTAAATTAATTTTTAAAAGAAAAATATTATAAAATATAAATAAAAAATAAAATATAAAATATTATAAAATATAAATAAAAAATAAAATATTTTTTATGATAAGCCACATATATATATATATACACACATAGTGTTAACGTGATATTTATAAATATTTAAAAAAAAAATTATATTATTAAATAATGTTTTTATACGACCATATAGGGAGAGAAGCAATCATACTTCACCTTTAAAGGATCGATCATTGAAAACCTGGAGAATGAATTTGGCAGGGGGAATAAAGTTTTGCAACAATGTTAGGTAGTTCAAAATTTTGTCGTTTAAATGGCTCAAATAACTCAAAACGACGTCGTTTTGACAGATTTGAACCATTTGAGTCACAAAATTTTGAACTACCAAACATTTTTCAAAGTTTGCCTAATTTCCAATACTAAGGGCTGTTTTGGTAATATGTATAAAAAGTTAAAAGTCAGTTTTTAATTCATGTTGAGTCACATAACGTTTGAGAAATTTTATTTCCACACACCTAATTAACTTATGACACACCCTTAATGAAATTTTAATTTAATAACAATTATTTCCTAAATTAAAATGATCATAATAGACATCTAGCAACACCCATAATATTATATGAAAAAATTCTATATACACATCTTTTAAGAATAAAAAAATCTCAATGTATATATTTTGAGTTAAAAAAATAAATCATAATTTTTTCTATTATTGTCACTTTGAATAAGTGGAGTCAAGATTTTCATTAAATTACAGCATAAATTTGCATTATCTAAGATCAAATTCTATTTATTTTTTTCAAAATTTCCTTCTTCCCTTTTCATTTCTTAACCCACCAAGCACGTACCTATAACTTTTTTTTTTTTCTTCAACGAAGTAACAGAGAAGATCTATTAAAACTGTAAAGCATAACACAAAGCTAAAGGGCATTAGAGACCCAACGAACTGGCAAGGTGCCATTAAGAAAGGCTTTTGCAGTCCAATAGGCAGCCTCGTTTGGCTCAGGTAATTCAATTTATCAAGAATGTAAAATCAATTCACTATAAACCATTCCAATTCCTTTATTTTTATGCAAAATAACAAAAGCTAGATAAAGAATTCAAATTAATAAGAACATTTAGAAACCTAAAATTGGAAAACAAAAAAATAAACATTGGGTTCTCAAAACCATAAATTTGCAAATGGTATGTATACAATAGTTATGAGTGAAGGATATAATTGTAATTTTCAATGTGGGGATTAAAAAAATTAATTAATAAATTAATTAATAGGTATGTGTATTACGAAAAGATGTGCCCTAAACTAATCAAGTATGTGAAATAGAATTTCCCATAACCTTTTGCATGAAACAATAAAAAAAATCAAAAAAACAAAAAAAAAAATTCAACTTTTAACTATATTTCTAAAATAACCCTACCTACACGTAAATAATAAAAATAAAAAAGACAAAATATCTATAGTTTTAAAGAGTATGTTAGAAGCTATAAATTACAACGTTAAGATGCAAAATGTGTCAAATGCTCAATTTGTCTCCTTTTTTGGAGTTATTTTTATTTGGTGATTTTGAAATAAAGGTAAATTCTCTCCGACCTTTAATTTAGATTTAAACTCATGAGATATATTATTAGTTTCGTTTTGATAATTTTGATTATTTATTTTATCAAATATTTTAGATATTTTATTAATAGGAAATAATTAAATTAATTCGATCGTAACGTTTTGCTTTGAAACTCGTTTGCTTGACGCCTTGTACCACCCATTTTGTCCTACTGTTTTTTTTTTTTTTTTTGTTTGGAACAACATTTTGTCCTACTGTGGACGCGTGTTGAATGGGTCACACAATGTGCGCCGGGGAAATTGGTTGGATTTCTCTGTGGGTCTCTTTGGTTACGATCTTCTTACCTACTTTTCAGTTTTTTTAAAGTCAACACACACCCAAAAAAATAAAAAATTAAAATTGATTACCTAAATATAAATTTTAATCAATAATTGTGAAAAAATAAAAATGTTTTAACTTTTTTATCTTTGTTTTGTTAATTGTTAAAAAATAGGTTAAGCTTGATAGAGTTTTGCAAATATAATTTGAGAGTATGAGTTGTATTTTGAATTTGTAAGTTGTGAAATTATGATTTGAGTGTAGAAAATTTGTTTGGTTATCGTTTTTGAATAGAGTGTTGAATTGAGTTTTGAATTGAATGTGAAATTGAATTTTGAAAATTTGATTTGACATGTGATGTAAAAAAATTTGTTTGGTTATGAGTTTTAGAAAGAATTTTCAAAACTTAATTTAAATTGTTATAACTTATAACAAAACACGCTACTTTTACACTATTGAAAATTCTGATCAACACTCATAACCAAACTCTTTTTAAAATTCAATTAAAAAAATTTATTATTAACAAAAAATAACATTAATCAATTTTTTAATTGAAAATACTACAAAGGAAATATTTTTTTTCAAAATAAATATTCAAAAAATTTAAATCATAAATATTTAAATATTCTAAAAAATTTAATAAGTAAAAAATTAAAATAAATATTCAAAAAATTTAAATCGTAAAAATTTAAATAATTTAAATATTCAAAAAATTTAAATAATTTAAAATGTTAATATTTTAAATTTAAAAACAACTTCACACTCAAATCGTAACCATACACATAAAACAAAACTCAATTAAAAAACTATTTTTAAAACTCATAACCAAACACATAACTCGAAACTTCATACTACTTTCACAATTCTACACTCAAATCGTAACCCAATACATAACAAAAAAATTAAAATATTTAAAAATATTTTTATAAAATAGAGTTTGAATTTATTTTTATAAAATATTTTAAAATTTAAAAATTAAAATCGTAATATTTTGAAATTAAAATATTTAAAAATATTCAAAAAATTAAAAAAATCGTAACATATTTAAATATTAAAATATTTAAAATCTTAACAAAATTAAAATATTGATTTGAATTGAGTTTTGAAAAGAGTTTTGAATTATGTGTTTGGTAATGAGTTTTGAAAAATAATGATTATGTTTTGAATTGAGTTTTGAGAAATACGTATAGAATTACGATTTGAAAACTCAAAACAAATAAAACATTCAAATCAATGGGTAGAATTATAATTTGGGAGTTGTGCTAAACTGTGCCTATATTTTTAAAATTTTTGTTGTCTTTAATTAAAATTTTGTTGTCTTTGTATGTAATAAGATTTTCATAAATTTAATTCAATTTACTAATATTATTACACTAATTATACAAAATAAAACCAAATCGTATATGACCCGTGCTACGTGTGGGAGGGACAGAAAAGAATAGAATCCCTCAACTAATTTCACATGCATTAAAATTGAAAAAATTGAATGATGAGAATACTCTCCCATTCTCTTTCTTTAATTAACTAGCATATTATGGACGGGATAAAATAATATATTATTTAATAAAAATATGATATTTATATTTAATTTTTAAAAAATTTGTAAAATAAAAGTAAAATAAAAGTTAGTCAATTGAGATTTTCTTAATTGTTTAAAATTAAGAAAATTTAAAAAATTAGTATGAGATATTGATCATAAGATTTTTTACTAAAAATTTCATTTTACTTATATAAATGGGAGTATAAGATTCATTTTATGTATGTGAAACAATTCATTTTTTTTCCTCGATGTGGGATTATAAAATAAAAGTTAAATGAAAGTTAACTAATGAAGATTTTCTTAATTGTTTAAAAGTTAACAATTGTTTGGACGAAGAATTTATTTCGAATCAAATAATCTTAACCGTTTAATCTTTAATTATGTCAATCTTTAATTTATTTCGAATCAAACAAATTTAACCAATATGTTTTGTTAAAATCGTAGTTGAACCAGCGAATTAGTCAAACCGAAAATGGTTCACCCTATCGGCTAGGTCAAAGGATCACCCAACTTATACAAAAATCAATTAATTAAAACTTTTAAATTTTATTTTAATTTTAAAATTTAAACTATCTTGAACTAAAACATATACAACACTATAATATTAAATGGGAGTATAAGGTTTATATAGTAAAATAACCAATTTTTTTCTCCTTTTTCTTGATGCGGGATTGTAAAATAAAAGTTAACAGTTGTTTAAACGAGAAGTTCACTCAGTTGTTCAATTTTTAATAAGGTCAATCTTAATTTGTTTCAAATCAAACAAAATTAAGCAATATATTTTAATAAAACAGCTAAAACTATGATTAAACTAGTGAATCAATCAAACTGAAAATGATTCAGTCTAATCGGCTAAGTCAAAAGACCAACCAATTTACAACAAAATTAATTAATTAAAACCTTTAAATTTTATTTTAAAATTTAAACCATCTTGAACTGAAACATGCACAATATTATAATAGTAAATGAGAGTATAAGATTCGCTTTATATAAGTAAAACAATTCACTTTTTATTTTTTTTCTCGATATGAGATTATAATTATTTTAAAGTTAAATATTATGAGAGTTTCAAAATCCCATACAATTTTTTTTTTAAATCAAAACATCTATGTGAGATTATAAAATAAAAGTTAAATTAAAGTTAATCAATAGAGATTTTCTTAATTATTTAAAATTAAGAAAATAAAAAAAAATAGTATTGATTGTAGGGCATCTCAATAAAAATTTTCTTTTGCTTATATAAATGGGAGTACAAGATTCACTTTTTATATAAGTGAAACAATTCACATTTTCATTATTTTCCCAACGTGGGATAGTAAAATAAATGTTAAATGGAAGTTAACCAATGGAGATTTTTTAATTATTTAAAATTAAGAAATTTCAATAATTTATATAAATTGAAACATAAGATTTCACTTTATGTAAATGAAACAATTCATTTTTTTTTTCTTTCCCGATGTGGGATAGTAAAATAAAAAGTAAATAGAAGCAAGTCAATGAGAATTTTCTTAATTGTTTAAAATTAAGGGTTGGTTTGGCATGTTTGAAAAAAGTCAAAAAGTGACTATCCTATTTAAGTCACATCATCCTATTTAAGTCACATCACCTCTCTAACCTATCACTTCAAACCCAACCCAAACCTAATCCATATTTCATAAAAAGTCAAAAAGTGTACTTATTTAGATCATCCAAAACAATCCCTAAGAAAATTCAATAATCTTATAACGAGGGTTTGGGGCTTGTAGATGACTTCTTCCTTAAAATTTCTTTTATAAGATTCATTTTATATAAGTGAAATAATTCACTTTTTATTTTTTTTCCTGATGTGGGATTGTAATATTTTAAATAAGTGAAATAACTCACTTTTTATTTCTTTTCTTTATGTGGGATTGTAATTATTTTAAAGTTAAATATTATGAGAGTTTTAAAATCTCATGCAAAATTATTTTAAAAATAAAAAACTATGTGGAATTGTAAAATACAAGCTCTCACAAGGCTGCTCACTAAATGGGATGGAAGTATAAAATTCATTTTATATGTGTAAAACAATTTATTTTTTTTCCTCCTTTTCCAATGTGGAATTATAAAATAAAAATTAGGCAATGAAATCAATAAAATTAGTATGAGATGTTAAAACTCTCCTAAGACTCCTCACTAAAAACTCCACTTTCTTTATATAATATATAAATTAGTTCTTCTTCAATTTAGAATGTTGGAAACATATAAAGATCAACACAAAATTATGATTTTTATGCTAGTAATTTTAGTGCATCCCAAGACTTTTGAAAAATGAAAACCAACTACTATTCTATGATTTTTATTACAGAAACCGAACTTGGATTCAAGTAGGTATACTTTATTTATTTTAATACTATCAGAAGAACATAAATACATGAGCAATTCTAGTAGACAATCTTGTCAAACATCATGCACACTTGTTTTGGCAGCTTTTATTTGCAGATTTCACTTTGTTTTAATTTACGGTATTTTTATCATTCGAATAAATTGTTTGAATATCAATGATAAAGTATGGTTTCGTTCGGAAGTTGAAATTCGAACACTAAAATTGTGTTAATTGAGAATTTTTTTTGAGATATTGAAACTCTTACAAGACTGTTTACTAAATGAGGATGAGAGTATAAGATTCTTTTTATATGAGTAAAATAATTTTTTTTTCGATGTGGGATTGCTAAATAAAAATTAACCAATAGAAATTTTTTTAATTATTTAAATTTATCTTTTAATCAAAAAAATTAAAAATTAAAATTGAAATAATAAAACTCCCATAAAATTTATGGGTTAAAAAAAGGGTAATGATACATCTCACTAAAAATGGTGCTCTAAAACACCACTAATGAGTTGGTAAGTACTTTAAATAAATAATAAAAAAAAAACAAAACACCAACAATGAACTCCGTCCATTACCACATCGCTAATAATACTTTTAGAGCAATGTTTAGAATCTAATGTTCGAAACATTAATCTGATGTTTAGAATCTAATGTTCGAAACATTAATCTGATGTTTAGAATCTAATGTTCGAAACATTAATCTGATGTTTAGAATCTAATGTTCGAAACATTAATCTGATGTTTAGAATCTAATGTTCGAAACATTAATCTTTGCACATCAATCTAATGTTCGAAACATTAATCTGATGTTCGAAATCTAATGTTCGAAACATTAATCTGATGTTCGAAATCTAATGTTCGAAACATTAATCTGATGTTCGAAATCTAATGTTCGAAACATTAATCTGATGTTCGAAATCTAATGTTCGAAACATTAATCTGATGTTCGAAATCTAATGTTCGAAACATTAATCTGATGTTTGAAACATTGTAATGGGACCTTTCAGTCTATAAGAAAACTTTTAGGACTAAACAGTGCATAAGTTATTAATTTGGGATTTATTGGTGCATCCCCCATTTATTTAATAAATTATGAATACTATATTTTTTAAAATTTATTTAAAATATAAATTATCTATTATAATTTTAAAAATTATAAATATTTTTTATTAAATAAAATTAATAAAAATAAAATAAAATTTATGACTACTTTTTTATGTAATATTAAAATTACTTAAAATTATTAATTAAAATATACTTTTAACAATATTAGAAATTATTAATTAATTTAATAATTTATCATTAAAAAAAACCACTCGTTATATAATTAAAAATTTAAAAGGATGTGTAATTTAAAAAAGGATATCGTTATTTAAGATAAAAAATTGAATTAAAATTTTAAATTTAATAATATAAAAATTAATTAAAATATTAAAAGTAACACTGACTTTTATATCTTTTCTAATCAGCAATAAATTATATCATTTACATATTATAAAATTTAAAAAATAATCTAAAAAATAAATTTATGTATATCATTTATCTTTTAAAAATCACAAGTTTTTTAAGCAAATCAAGGATATGTTTGTAATTTACTCTATTCTACAAAAACAATCACAACGGGAAAAGTGTTTCGTGTCCTCCCCCCTTCAAAAACCGAACTCACAAACCTCTACTTTCACATTACCTCTCTCTCTCTCTCTCTCTCTCTCTCTCTCTAAATCAACACAGATATATACATACATACATTCACATTGATGTCCTAAAACCCTAGCAGTCAAATCAAGCCCTAAAACTCCAAATTATCGCATAAAAGCCCCAATTTTTAGTGTCTTTGTCTCTGATTTCTCTCTGTGTGGGGAGGAATTTTTGAAAATTAGGGTTTTTCCAAGCAGAGGATGTTGATGTTCGATAGTGACAATGGAGGCAAGTAAAGGGGTGAATGGTGTGGAAAATGGGAGCTCGAGCGAGGGCCGTCCTCCGAACCCTCTCGCTGCGGCCTACAGGCAGTGTTTCAGCACTTCCCGAGTCGGAGCCTCCCCCTGTAAGAAGCTGGTTCGGCACTCATCTTTGGTGAGATTCCATTATCACTTTCTTCAGAAGGCTGTGTTTTTATGAATTATTGAATAACTATTAGTAGTCTCATTGTTGTTTTGGATGCTCTTATTATTGTTTGTCTAAATTGCAATTGACTTTGTCTCTAGTTTGTTGTATATTGATTGCCTTAGTTTTAATGTTTCACTGGTCTTCTAATTAATTTTTCTTAAAGATTCTAGCGTGTTTATTAACTTGGTACTTTATTTTATTTTAAAGTGTACTTTCTGATTTGTAAGTTTAGTTATTTTTAAGGTATTTAATGGAAGTTAGGTACCTGCTTGCAGCATCTTTTTAGCTTTCTTTAGTACCATACTTTTAAGTTACCACTGCAGGTTCATTAGATGGTTATTGTTTTTTTAGCTTACTTAGCTAATATCTTGTCAAAATTGGCTTAGATCGACAGATCGAATACAGTCCTTGGTCCTTACTCTTGGGCATTATTTGAACAAATTAATATGGCAAATGCTAACAAATGCCCCATGGCCAGGAAATGTGTAAAAGGTCTTGTGAAAATGTGTAAAAATGTTAAAAAATGTATTGATTTTAGTAAAAGTGTATTGAATTTAGTGAAAAATGTCTTGTGTTCTTCAAATTTTTTGTCTTTTACTTGTGCCCTAGGGGCACTTGTTAGCAAGACCTAATTAATAATTACTAGGTATTAGAAAGTTTGCAATAGATATGTTGTTTGTTTTACAATATGCATTTTCCTACAAACACACTTATGTTATTTGAGCATTCAAAACATGCGAGAAGTCTGTTATAGAAGGATGACTAGGACAAAGCTCTTGTTAGGGTGGTTTTGTAGTGTATTGTTCTAATGACTAAAGCCCATAGAGTAGCTTCAAGGCATAGAAAATGATAAAGTGAAATCCTATGGAATGTATACGTATATACATATAAGAACCTCATGTAATGCATACACACATATAGGAAATCTTATGGAATGTTGTAGAGCACATGGATGTTGTTAGGGGTTTTGTAGTGATTCCCAAGAGAGGTAGGAGTTTTCTAGAACCAACCAATTTTATCGTAGGACTTTTGTTGTGTTGGCATAACACTAAATGATGTTAAGGAGTCCCTATGTATTCTTTGGTCATTAAGAGTTTTAGGAAGCCTTGTAATTATTCTTTTATGTAAATATTCCGTTTTTAGTTCAATGTAGCGTGATTGAGTGAGCATTTCCCTTGATTGTTTTGGTGAGTGACAAAGCATAACATTAGGCAAGTCATCAATGGTTATTTTGATATGTTGAATCTAAGTGATGGCTAGCATAGGTAGCTTCTTGTGATGGAGAAGTACCAAAGTCTAATTTTGGCATTGATGAATATCACATAAGGTGCCTCGTGCCTCTTTGCTTTTGAAGACAGACATCGAGAGATTACTTTCTTTTTAAAGGTTTTTGGCAAATAGAGCTTAGTCTTTTATAAGGTTTTTGAAATGAAATATATAATTGATCAGCTGCATCATGGAGCACGATATATTAATTCTATAAACTAATTAAAGGGTCTTTTTCTTTTGGCCCAATAAGTCAAACATGTGATATAAGCATATGTAAAAGAGGCCTGTCCTACAGAGTCCTGGCGCTTAGGCCTGCGTCTATTTGAAGGTGCCTTGTCCGCCCCTAGGTGAAGCACTAAGCTTGCCTGCCTGTGCGTTGGGCTTTTTGTGGGTGCCTAGGTGTGCGTTTAACAACTATGACAAATCTTCTGCTTCTATATCAAGGATCTTGGGTACCGTCTATACCTTTGAGAATATGCCTCTTAGCCACCTTCACTTGTGTAGTTATTACAATATAAATGGCATTGATGATTTGTAGTTTTTTTTTTTTTTTTTACTTGATATGTTCTTTTTGAGCCATAACCTCTTCTCTTTTTTATAGTGGGAATGGTCACTGTTGGTTTTGTATTGATTTGTTGGATGCTGTATACTATAATTTTGATCTCTTTTCGGATTATATATTTTAGCAGGTTTTATGGAGTGCTAGAGTTGAATTTGAATTCTTAAGAAACTATCTCTTGGCATGCCTACATCAATGACACTTGTGAATACTTGTTTGTAATTTCTATTTTATTCAATTGCTATTTGGATTAAGGTTTTGACTAGAGCTTTAAACAGGTGAAGACAAAGGTGTCAAGTATTTCTGTTGAACCAATATTGGGTGTAGATGTCCGTGAGACTGAGTTCATTCCGTTGCTTCGCTCTGGAGCGTGGGCAGATGTTGGGTTCCGCTCGAGCATGGAGGATGTGTACCTTTGTGTGGACAATTTTATGCGTGATTATGGGGTTAAGAATATCAATGGACCAAATGCCTTCTACGGGGTATTTTTTTTCCCCTCTCTTGCAGTACTTGTGACACTACATGTTTTTAGATATTTTGGAAGGATGACACTATTGCTTTTATAATGATAAACAACAGTGTTGTTCTGCATGTAAAATGCATGTATAATTCTTGGGGGTGAGTATTGCTTGTTAACCAAGTGTGTTCTTATTGCTTGTTCCAAATTCCAATTGTGTGCTAGAATAAGAATAATGAAATTCTAAAGTGGGTCTAGAATCTACGACATTAGGGAATGGTGACTGCAATATAACGTATCAGGTAGGTTAAAAAATTTGAAGGACTAGGGATCAAAATTTATATCAGTCGTGTAGTGCTTACATGGAGGGGTTGGTGTGGAACATAAGCATGTGAAACTTGTTTGTTTGTGATGTAGGAGATGAAGCAAGGGGTTTTATGAGACGGCAAATAAGGAAGTGGGTTTAGGCCAAGTTTGGGAAGACTAAAAAAGTGCACTTTTTGTCTTTTTGGACTAAAAAGTTGAGGTTGAAAATATGGATGTTTGGGTTAACTTTTTGACTTTTTATTGAAAAATGTGTAATAAAAAATTGTAAAAATTGATTTGTAGGGAAAAATTTGAATTGGGAGTTGTGCAGCCGTAATTGTTGACTTTTGGTGAATAGTGTTAACTTTTTAACTTTTTAAGTAACTTTTTGGCTTTTTGGCTTTTTGGCTTTTTTGGAAGTACCCAAACTTGGCCTTAAGCCAAGGAAGTGCTTTAAGATAAAGTGGAAACTATTTAGGAGAGCATTAGGTCCAAACTACTATATTTAGATTAGGAATAGAATATTGAATCAGACTAATTTTGGTCTGAAAGTGGAAGAATAAAGCGGGCATGCAAGGTATTGGTGATTTAAGGCAGTTATAAATTTAGAAGTCCAAGTGCTTAATTTGACTCTTCAACTTTTAAGAATTCATACTCAAAAAGTGAATGTGTGGTTAGTGAAGGCAAGTGGCACCTCTGTAACAATCACTGCCTTCACAGTTTATTTTTTCCCCATCTCTGTAAGTTTTCAGGATACTGGCTCAACTACAATGTTATGTAAAAAAGGCTCTCTGTTAAATTACCCCACATCATGCTGCTGACTTGATGATCTGCATACTGCCATTGATTACTGCATTTCTATCAATTAAATAGGTTTGACATTTTTCAATGGCGAATACCACCATGTCCTATTTGATGGCTCCCTTGCACTACCATAGCTGACTAGACTGATGGATACACCAGTTATAATGGCATGCATATTAACATCACCATCACAAGTGAATCTGTATTCTCCCAATCTCAAGTTCTAAAAACTTATCTTTTGTTATACAAAAAGATTACATGCATATTTATACGCTGCTAGAATTCTTCTAATTGTATCGTGGTTTGGACTCACAATAGGAAACTAGTGGACTTTTACTAATTAGGGGTATTTTGGACATTCCAAAAACTATATAAAAGACACAAAATTGCTTGACCCAAATTACAACTCACTGGCTACCCTACATCTCAGGGGGCTTTTAAATACACCCTTTAAATCTCTCCCTACACCCACTTGTACAAGAGGTTCTTATAAAGTATAAGAGAGGGAATGCATGCAGTGGTTCTATTTACTTGCTCTTTTCCTTCTAATTTCTAAAAGCCAGAAAATAGATCCAGGATACTATCTAAGTGATTCCTTATATACTTGTCAAAATTTGTGTAGTTGGCATGCAAATTCTGAGCAAAGTCATTAAACAGACTATTTGAATATGATAACAGTGGTTTGACGCATCTTCATTTGTCTGTATATTCTAACAAAGTACATTCAATGTCAACATGTCCGTGGTTGCATTAGGTTTTTGATGGACATGGAGGAAAGCATGCTGCTGACTTTGCGTGCTACCATTTGCCAAGATTCATTGTCAAGGATGAAGACTTCCCAAGGGAAATTGAGAGGGCCGTTGCTTCAGCATTTCTACAAACTGACACTGCTTTTGCAGAAGCTTGCTCATTGGATGCTGCCCTAGCTTCTGGTACCACTGCGTTGGCAGCTCTTGTTATTGGGAGGTTAGTGTTTTTTCCATCAATCATACATGTATTATCATTGATCTTTTAGCCTGTTTGGTGGCATTAGTTTGTATTTTCTCTTCCATCTTTTCATACTTTTGTTCATCCAGGTAATATTCTAACTGTGATAGTAAGGTTGTTCATAGTTCCTTGGTAATTTCATTTATTTTCTTAATTTTCTGATGAAGAAAATAATCCTTGAAAGTTGAATAGTTCTATCATCTGAGCACATGGGGTCTGAAATGAGTATACATCAGCAATATTGAATTGCGTGTTATTGTGTTCTTGAGCCTCCATCTCTCTTTGCTTCCCCCACTCCTCCCCCCTGGAGATATGAAAAAAGAGTAGAGGAAGTTAGGAGAACACATAAAACTGAACTTAAACTTCACATTGAGATAATTTGTTTGCTATTATGAAAAATATATGCACACTAGTGAAAAGTCCTTAATGATTGAAATATATTTATATATACATTACGTATATGTAAAATTGAGGCTCTGTCTCCTTTTTGTTTATGACTATCTCTGGCAGTTCATTGTTTGTGGCAAATGCCGGAGATTGCCGAGCAGTGCTTTGTCGCCGGGGCAAAGCAATCGAGATGTCAAGGGATCACAAACCCGGTTGCTCCCAAGAGAGGAAGCGTATTGAAGCATCTGGAGGGTATGTCTACGACGGTTACCTCAATGGACAACTAAATGTTGCTCGTGCTCTAGGAGACTGGCACATGGAGGAACTAAAGGGTAGCAGTGGTGGGCCTCTTAGTGCAGAGCCTGAACTGAAGAGCACAAGACTAACAGAAGACGACGAGTTCCTCATCATAGGCTGTGATGGGATCTGGGATGTCTTTATGAGCCAAAATGCCGTTGATTTTGCTAGACGAAAACTTCAGGAGCATAATGACCCAGCCATGTGTAGCAAGGATTTGGTTGAGGAGGCCTTGAAGAGGAAGAGTGGTGACAATTTGGCTGCTGTCGTTGTGTGTTTCCAGTCCCAACCTCCACCTAACTTGGTTGCACCACGTCCAAGGGTGCACCGGAGCATTTCTGCTGAGGGTTTGAAGGAATTACAGAGCTTCTTGGATAGCTTGGAATTGGAAACTTGAGATGGTGACGAATGTTTATTTTACTTTTCTTTTTTGAACAATTCCTAACTTGTACTTCAGATGTTGGGAGAGAACTGTTGTCCAACTGTATGATATGCGGCGGCAGCACATTTTGATTTTGATTTTGATTTTTTTTTTTTTTTTTTTTTTTTTTTTTTTTTTTTTTTTTTTTTTTTTTTTTTGGGCCTAATTTTAGGCCCTTGGGATTTTAGTTTGTTGACATCATTGTTAAACTGATGCTGTTGTTTTCCCTGACTTTTTAATGTCTTGTTCCAGCCTTAGTTTAGACCCTCATGGAAAGTTGAATTATGGACACCATTGTGCTGATGTTTCAATGTTGAATTGGGGTAATGAAAGCTGTGATGGTTACTGAGTAATCTTCTTTTATTTTCTCAATAATTGACCTTGTATTTGTATCTCAAATCTTGTTCAGTTCCATCACATTTAGATACAGTCATGTAAGGTGTCATGTTAGATGATATACCTAAATGTGATTACAATTGCATAATTGTTTTCAACATTATTGGCATGGTTTTATGGTAAAGTATGAGTCGCTTTTCTTATGACAACTAGTGCATGCTTTTGTAAATCATCATTAAGAACTTAGTAAGAAGAAGAAAAACTGAAGTTGAAGTTCTTATCTTTTGCCAAAAAAAAAAAAAAAAACAGAACCTTGCAAGAACAAGAAAAAAGGTGCAGGATTTCAGTGATGATTGTTTGCTTAAATTTTCATTATATTTTTAGGGCAGCTGAATCACTGCCTTAATATAAGGGGTTGACGGGACCTTTACTAGGTGTGTTTGTCTGATTCGAATTTTATTGTTGCACTTTATAGTTTTTCATTTTCTTGTTCCTCAACAACCAATTGTTAAAAATAATAATAATAATAATAATAATAATAACAAAGACATCAATGGCAATTGCTAATAACACGGGTGAAAAGTACAGTTTACCCCTTCATTATTAGAGACAATTACCAGCAGCCCAGTTCAAATGGAATCCACTGAACATAAAAGTAATCAACCAAAAGGAAAACAAAACATAAAAAGTACCAAGAAAATCAATACATACAATTGCAAGAAGCTTTTCAAATAACTGCTAAAAATTTCCCTTTTTTATTGCACTTTGTATCAGTTCATTACATTACATATAGATGAATTACGTTACATCGACAAAATCAAAATAAGCAAAACAGAACTCAAAAGCTGATGGAACTAAAAAATGAAAATGAAATAAATAAAAAAAAATTCCTTCAATGTACATCACATGTTGACAAAAACTATCGCGGGATGATGATCTTTTTGGCGAAGATTTATTTATTCTATATGAAACTATTATCTTTTCTGGAAGTTAAACGCCCTGATTGAATAGGCAAAGATGAATCCAAAGAGCACAGCGATCCCAACTATAATCATGGCTACATATCCCACGAAGTCATGCTTAAAATCATAGAAATTCCTTACGAATTCTTCAACTGTTTCGCCAGTGTCAAGCTTTTCTTGAATGTCTCCAAACTGGGAGGCAACCAGCCCATAGAGAGTCCAAGAGACCGGGGAAATGTAATAGAACCACCGCCACCACACTGGAATTCTCTGTCATGATAGAAGGGAAAAGAAAAAAAAAAAAAAGAAGGAAAATTGTTTAGATCCGTTTGAGTAGTTGTTATCTTGTTATCTTGTGAAAGTTGAATGTCTTGAAATCAATTGAACTTACTATTTTAGGAATGATAAATCCAGAGAAAAGATTCCATATTATATAGAAGGCGGATGAGACTATGGAAGCAATGTTGTGGTTGGGAGTTACTGCCACTGTCATCATCCCATAGAAAGTAAAGTATAACAGGGTGAAGTACATGAAAAACAGATACCATAAGAACTTGGCAACGGTCCACTCAAATCCAATCATGGCATAAACTATGACTCCATATGTGAGAGTCTGAATAAAAACGTATGGGAGCTCAATCACAACCTGTAAACACAAAATGATAATTAATGAAATATCTTGAAATTTTAAAAGAAAGTTTCCAATTGCACTTTCACGTTATAGTAAACAGTTCTTATTTGATCCAAGTTCATGCAAGTACTAGTCAATGTTTAGTCAAAAGCGGGCGCTTCCATTAGTTATATATATATATATATTTTATTTTAACAAGTGGAAAGGGCATTTGTATTCACACAACCATGGATTACCAGAATTCTTTTTTATTCTTTTATTTTTTTAATAACAATATTTCAATGTAATCCCTATCTTCGGTTATTTCTAAATCCCATATTTTCTATTAGGGAGGCACTTAAATGACAAATGCATTTTGTTTGGGGAATTTCACATGAAAATACAAATAATTACCTGTCCAAAAGCATATGGCAATGCTGAATACATTCCGGCTGCAGCTGTTCTTTCCCTGTAAAAGACTGTTCTCTCAATAGCAACTACTGGCTGCACTGAACCAGCATTTTGTGAACCAATAAATAGCACAGCGCAATACATAGAACCCATTGCATTGAAGATATCCTGTTGTTTTCCCCTGCAATTCCGAAACACTTGAATTAATTTATGAACTATGGAATAAGGAAACACTTTGAAAATTGGATACAACGGCTTTGTGGCATTTCTCTACAAACGTACCTTTTGGAGCCAAGATCCCAGAAGATTGTTCCAAACAGAAGAGCTATGAATGTTGTGAACAAGAATCTCACTGCACTGTATGGCGGGTTTCGCCAGTACGACAAGTGTTGTTTCCATAGGCAAGACGTACATTGGGTGAAGAAAGACTGAGAGTATTGAGTGGGGAAATATAGATCTTTTAAGTCCGGTGGAGGTGTATTGAGTTCCTTGATTAAGTCTTTGTTTCTCCTGATTAGTCACATGGAAGATTATTTATGTTTGTCACAATTTTAGTCCATTGCAGACATTTTTTTTTTCAAAATTTAGACTAGTTTCAACTAGTTACAACAAAATTTTGCTTTGATAATGTAAGAGAGTCGATACCTATATAGTTCCGAGTTCTTGTACACCTCTGTAAAGTTTACCCCAAGAGCTGCTTCCTGTGCTGCTGAAGTCACCTCTAACATCCATGTTGCTGGATTATAACCATCTGTAATTTTACTAACTCTGTTGATACCCTAAACGAAATATAAGATGATTATATTAGTACCTACATAAGTAGAAACGCAGGAAGTTTGAATGGTATCATGTGCATATCAGCCTTACTTCAAAGTACTTGATCAGATGGGAAGACTGGCGGCCTAATGGACCAACATATATTTCTTCACCTCCTCGTTTTAGAAGAAATAGCTGTAAATCCGAAATAAATGTTCTTTAGATCTCTTATGAATGTAGAAACTGTTCATCAATCAGAAATCAAGACAAACTAGGCTTGCCTACCTCATCAAAAGAATCAAATATGTCAATGCTTGGCTGATGGATGGTGCACACCACAGTTCGTCCCGTGTCCACTGTGTTTCTCACTGTTCTCATCACAATTGCTGCTGCCCTAGCATCAAGTCCCGAGGTTGGTTCATCCATGAATATTATGGATGGGTTGGCTATGAGTTCAACTGCAATTGTCAACCTCTTGCGTTGTTCGGTTGAAAGACCATCCACGCCAGGCAACCCAACAAGTGCTTCCCTTAACGGGGTTAGCTCAACAAGCTCCATGACCTCATCGACAAATATCTGCAATTCATCATTTATACTAACATCTTATTATGCCCAAAATTGAAAAAAGATACTGAGGTCATCTTGGTGTTCAAACTCTATGATTAGGACTCACTTTTTTGGAGGCAGAATCAACATCAGGAGGCAACCGGAGCCAAGCAGAGAATTGCAAGGACTCATAAACTGTTACATGAGGAGAGTGAATGTCAGTTTGCTCACAATATCCTGCTACACGAGCGAATGTTTCTTGCTTCTTTGGGTACCCTGATATCATGATCCTTCCCTCAATATATCCACCAGTTTTTCTACCAGCCAACACATCCATTAGAGTGGTCTTACCAGCCCCACTAACACCCATTAGAGCTGTAAGAATTCCAGGCCTGAAAGCACCACTCACACCTTTCAGAAGTTCTAGCCGGTCTTCAGGAATACCTTGAGCTTTCATTTCCTAGAAGCACGGTAACAATTTCAGTACTCAAATGCAAGTACTATATTTACTATCCTATCCATAAAACTCAAAGATACCTGTGGCATATCTACTGCATATTTGATGTCATCGAATGTGATGGAAAGAGGTTCGAAAGGAAGAACCATTCCCCGCTTCCTGTTTTTGGAAACTTCACTAATACTGCCTAGTCTTGAAGACATTGAGGTGGACAATACACTTCTTTGAACGTCATCTCCCGTTTCTGCATAATGATGGTTTGAGTATGCCATTGCCAGAAAACTTGCAAACCAGAAATGAAAGCACAATATGATGCTAATTAGTGACCCACCTACAGGTATCTTTCCTCTTGATGATAGCTCAATCTCTCCTGTTTTACAAGCATTTCTTTCTGCCAGTATTTCTTCAGATAGAACAGCCTGAGGCTTCCCAAATGCTGCATCATATTGACTCATTTATTACGCATTAGAACAAATGATCGCCAAGTAAAGGGAAAAAATTCAATATTCAAAATGAAAGAATGGTTACTCACGCTTGAGATAAGCGAGAGCCAGAGTGAAAAGGGAATTGAACAGAAAAATATATCCAATTGAAACTCCTACTCCAAGCCAATACCAGTATGCTTCGGGAAATAACCCACGAGACTTCATGATTATTACACCTAATGATTCCGTTGAATCAGCTGTTGAATTTGCAGGAACCTGTAACACAAAGATTTTCCCCAAGTTAAGATCATCTTAATCAATTTTTTTGATGATTTCCTTAGGTTTCTTGTAGTCAAAGCTCACAATCATGATGCTTACATGTCTCCAACTGTCCCCAAGAAATTCATTCACTGCTATAGCGTTCTGTACATACATCATAGGTGAGAACCAGTAACCCCATATCCACCATTTCTTTATATCATCTGAGGCAAAGAAAGCAGTTAATACAGTAAAATTAGTGTCACATCAACCACAAGAAAATGTGCGAGTGCATGCTTGTGTGTCATATTATGTTGCACTTTCTATACCTCTTGATAAGATAAATCCACCCAATACAATAACTGCAAGTAATGCAAATGAGCCAAATGTGTTTGCCACAATCATATTCCTTCCTAATGACCCCATGAGACGGAACAGTGCAGAAGCCATCTGGTTAATGCATAGCATTAGAAGGTACATTTTGAACAACCTGCCAATAAGAAATCTATCAGATTATGAAATGAAGATCTTGAAACCAAAGCCGAAACTACAGTCACACATCATTACCTTCCGACATGTGGATCAAATCCTATGACATAGTAAGTTGTGAACACCCAAATACTGACTTCTATAAAAGTTATCGGGATCTTGAGGATCCATGTGGGTAAAGAGTAAGCCCAAGCCGGAAAGAAGAGAAGGTCTCTTTGCTTGTAGAAGGTGGGAAGCTTCAAGATGGTCATGACTAACTCCGCAAACCCATTAAACATAATCATGAGGACACTAAAGAACAGAGCGCTCATGAAAATCGTTCCATCTTCTATTGTTTTCTTGGGCATCTTAGTTCTAAGAAATACAGTCATTGTAATTATTGCTGTAAGAATAAGCTGAAACAGACACATTGATGTGAGTTAGAACAAAACTTCCAAAATTATTTCATAAATGTGATGTGAAAGTTTCATGCTTTTGCTTTGAAATGTACTCACTTGAGTCAACTTGAATATGTAGAAAAATGAATTCCTTTTCATGAGCAAGTATTCTCTGGATATGAGAGCGTTCAACAGTTCCTTTTTACTAACACCATACTTCTTAGTTGTTAAAGCTGCAGGGTGGCTCTTGGCTTTGTCAAATGGAACATCAAGCTCATCTCCTAGTTTCAGACCAACGTGAAATGACTGAAATGCCTCTGAAAATTCCTTGACAGTAACAAAATTATATGGCTCATCTTTCTTTTCCCAGTACTGCTCTTGATCTTTCTTTGATGTCACCTGTGATTCCAACCGAAAACATTTTCAGTACTTTAAAGTCCAGTGTTTTCTAAACCATTACGAAATAGTGTATTGATGAACGTTTGAGTTCAATAAATTACTTCTTGTAAAAAGTCTGCGACTCCTTTCCTCTCAGGACACTTGAAGCCCATGTATTCAAAGAACTCTAGCACATTTTCGCGGGGGCCTTCATACACAATTTTCCCGTCTGAGAGGAGAATTATGTCATCAAATAAGTTGAAAGTTTCTGGCGCCGGCTGGAGGAGAGAGATAACAGCAGTTCCTTGAAGGATATGGATGGATTGCCTGATTGAGTTCACAATTTGATAAGTTGTAGAACTGTCCAAGCCAGTCGATATCTCATCCATGAAGAGCGCTCTGGCTGGTCCAACCAGCATCTCCCCTGTATCATATTTCATCAAAATAGGTAATAATCTAAAAAATGCGTAATTGTGTAACATGAAGTTAGTGGGTTAAGTAATTACCTGTTGTGACTCGCTTTTTCTGCCCACCAGATATACCTCGCCGCATTTCATCACCCACCATAGTGTCAGCACAAACTTCCAGTCCCAAAATCTGCGAATTTGGAAAAGCAGAAAGGATACATATCAAATTTTGTATGTATTTTTATTTATATTTTTATTTTTTTTATTTTTAAAATTTTAAACCAGATTTGTCATTTAAGAGGATTTCAAGCAAACACCTTAATAACATAATCTGTGACCAGATTAGCCCTCTGCCCTTCTAGTGATGCTGCCTGAATGATTACAAAAGTATAGTTAGATATACAAAACAGAAAAGCAATTCACAAGAACTACATTCGGAAGAAAAGATCTTATGGCTCAAGAAAGCATTCAATTTGTTTGGCAAATTGTTACAGAAAATCGTTTTTTGGAGAATTTTTTGAAAACAATCCACTTTCTAGGAAATACCAGAAAGTGTACTGTTTTAGCATAAACGAAAAAATGGATGTTTTCGAACTTTTCTTTGTTTTGTTTCCGAAAAGTAAGAAAATGAAAACACAACCAAACAAAATAATTGATCTTCAGTTATTCCCTTACTTTCATGTACATATCAAGATCTGGATCTGGCTTAATGTTTGCTTCCTTCTCTCTCCTAGACAATTCTGTTAACATGTCTGCAAAATTTTCAGATTCAAATAAACCGATTCAGATGCAGTTCAATTATCAGAACCAAATCATAAAAACGGCAACACCCATTGAATCTAACTGACCATAGTGAGGTCCAACTCCTTGACATCTTGCTGAGAAAGCCAGTGTCTCTCTCACTGTCAATTCTCCTATATGAAGGTCATGCTGACTTATGTAAGCTGATGTCCTCTGCGGAACAAACTCATTCATTCCATGACCATTGTATGTTACTGTCCCCGAAACCTGTAATTTTTTTGCCATCAGATTTGTATGCACTGCTGGAGTGGGTCTATCAAAATATGATATTTTGACATTGTAACATGTTGAAATATGGCTAGGCAATCAGTTAGGTCTTACAATAAATCTAAGTGTACAGTAAAAATACAACAATTCTAAACATGCATAAACCAAATACAAAACCTGACACGGAAAGATATGGATGGATAAGATTTTACAAGATTTGTTGATGGCGAACATCTTTTAAAATCCTATCCTATCCAACCATTTATTTTCTCTGGCAGTTCTATATTGATTTATGTGCTCCTAAACTTATTGAATACAAGACACCTCAGAACAAGATTTATGTAAAATCACAAGATAAAACAAGCCCCCAACATTTGGTTTTGAAAAAATTGAACTCATAGCTGTCTTACTTTTAGATCTGAACCAAGTTTTCCACTCAAAGCTAGAAGCAATGAGGTCTTCCCAGAGCTTGGTGGGCCTAAGAGCAATGTCATTCTGCAAAACAAGGTCAATGATATGAGAACTAGGATACTTAGCTTAGTGAGTCTGTAACAGACAAACCTGTTTAGCAAACTACTTTCTAAATAGTTTTAAAGACTTTATTTTTTGGAAACAATTCGCTTTTTAAAAAATACCAAAAATTTGTTTTCGCATAAAAATAAAAATGGTGAGTGTTTTTGAACTGTCATTATTGCTTTTCTTTCGGAAAACACAAAAAATTAAAACAAAAAAAACAAAAACAAACCCAACTCCATTTTTATTCTCACCTGCCAGGCTTGATGATTCCACTGACATCATGAAGGATTGTTAATGGTTTCTTCCTACTTGGAAGAACATGGAGGTAATTCAAGAACCCCTTTTCAGAACAGAGAGAAACAGAGAGAGAAAACAGGGTTAGTTCAATTTACAAATTACAACACAGATATGAACATGTTTATGTGATCTGATTGAGAAAATTCACCTCAAAAATATTAATGGAGAAGTTGAGAATTGTTGGAAGTGCTCGACTGCCAGCATAAGCTTCTGCGTCGACATTCAAATGCTTGAACCGGACTTCAATGGTGGGAAGATCAACCCCAACTCTGAAAAAAAAAAAAGAAAAAAAAAATTAATGTTGAGATTGTTAGTGTAGTAAATCAATAAACAAAATGTTGAAACACAAATATTGTGACAACAATGGCAGAAAATGTGATATAAAATGTTGGGTATTGGGTGTGATTCAGGGGCCTTGTGGAAGAGGGAGGTTTGGTTGGTGGTGCTCCAATTGCACTTCTTCACGAGTAGTGTGTTCGGGTTGGTTTTCCATGGCTCTGTGATTCTAGTAGGTTTGTTGTGGCAATGGAACTATGATTCCACTGGATTTGCTAGAGGAGCAATGTGTTTTAGCTATCCTGTTTTTGGTTAGGGATTTGACGAGTGATTTGGAAAGAGAATTGAAAAAAATAAGTGAAAGAGAATAAAATATATCTATATTTCATTTAATTTCACACATCTTTTTCATTTTTCTTTTCAAATTTCTCTCTAAATCCCCCAACTAAACACACCTTAGGTTTTCCAAATTCCATGGCTGTGTTGGGGTGGATGGTGAAGTTTTGCAGGGAAGGAGAAGGAAGAAAGGTTGCATAGCAAGTTAATTTAATTACCAATTAAGTTTATCTATATAAAATTAATCACTTAAATTCATAAAATATAATATAAGTACAATAGTTTGAATAAAATTATATGATGAATTTATTATTTGATACATATGATCCTAATTATTTTATGTAATTGTTTCTTTATTAAATGATTAGTGATTCTAAAAATTGAAAATAATAGACAAGGTATAAAAGGGGAGAAATTGTTTCGGAATTTTTTAATGAAAAATGCTATGAATCCTAAACTATCCAAATTTATCCCAAAAGGGAGTTGTACGGTTGAGATTGAATTTGTCTAGTGTGAACAAGATGACAATTTTGAATAATTTCTAAATAGTTAAGTATGAATTTATAATATCACTATTTTTTAATTAATAAGAAATATTTGTGTAATTTATTTATGATCCATGCTAGTTTTGAACACCATCACGTACTATTCTGTTCTCTATTTATCAAAAACTATTCTATTCTCTATTTACCAAATTTTATAACAAAAAATCTCTATGTTTATATTAATTTTTAGAAACTTGGTTTCTGACTTGATTCAAATTTCTTTAGTCTTTGTGAACACTAGACGAATAGTAAGAAGAAACAGTTTTAAAACTGTAACACCGCCACTCTCATACTCTCACAACATTACAAAATCATAAATTATATACTAATTGATTTGTTCTAATTAATTTGTTTTCTATCAGTTCTAACATAATATTTGTTCTTAATATTGGATTACTAATGCTGTGTTTGGTTGGGGAATTTGGGAAGGAATTTGGAAAGGGAAAAGGTGTGTGAAACTAGGTGAAATATAGACATGTTTTATTCACATTTCACCTACCTTTTCTATTTCTCTTTCCAAATCGCTCCTCAAATCCCCCAACCAAACACAACATAAGAGGAAATTACCTGTCAATGCGTTTCTTGAGCTTCAACAAGAACTTCTCATTGTCATCCTCAGCGATTTTCACGAGCCTCTCCAACAGATTCTTTCTCTCAATCACTCCAAGCTTTTTGATGTCAATCTCTCTCGGTTTGCCGCCTTCTTCGGTCAGTATACCTCTCTGAATCCTCACAAAAGTGGGTAATTTCTCGAGAGCAGCCCATTTTAGAGCTTCTTCATCGTCTTCATCGCGAGAAGAATGTGAGAAAACTTCTCTCCCATCATTCCTCCATAGGTTGGAACTACTCAAACGAGGACTACTCGCTCTCAGTATATTATCACCACTCTCCATTATCAAAAAGGTTGAGAAAAATTTCAATCTTTTTCAGTTCAAGAGTTGAACAACTTATGGGTATATGTATCTTGCTCTGTTTCTTATTGTGAAGCTGTATTTTTGAAGGAGTGTTTGGTTTGGCGATTGAAGGAATATGATGCCATGATATAAGAGAGGCTATGCAATATATATATTGATTTTGAAGTGAGAAGTGTCAAATGTAGATTTCCATATGATGGTGTGTGATGCAAGTGTTGATGTAATTTCCTTTCTTCGAAATAATTTTAAAATTATAATGATTTGTTAATATCATTTTTTAAAGAAAAAATTTATTTATAGAAACCATAATAATATATTAATAAGATTTAAATAGGTACTTTATTTTAAAATGATAAGTCTCAATATAATCACATTATTCTGTATATAAATTTTATATATTCTATTTTATTATTGTTGTTCTTTATCACTAATTTTTTTATATTTAAAATATGATAATCTTGATAAGTGTTTTAATCGAAAATAAAGGACTTACATGAAGTCATATCATTTTTAAAAAATTATATAAAAAAATATGATTGTATATTGTTATTAGAAATGCCCACTTTGTTTTCCTTAAGAAGACAAGAAAAGCTAAAAAGGTTGACTTTTTTTATAAAAAAAAACATTATTTGGTGTCTATAGTGAACCATTTTTTGGATTTTTTTTTAAAAAAAATTCTTTTGAATGAGTGGTGAGAGAAGGTATGTTTGTTAACACTCAAGGCAATAGGCTTAAGAATGTTGATTTTGGGAAAGTCTCATCCAGCTTAGCTCGACCCTTCAAAATATGATTGGCCGAATGGTTTTGGACATCATTTTTGTAAATTGGTCTAATTGAGTTTCTTTTTGTATATCATATGAATGATTTGATTTGTAATCCTCTTTATTTGATGAAGAGGTGAAATATAATCAATTTGGATTCGGAACCATCCGCTACTTGATAATCCTAGGGAGTCGTGAATTTTTTTCTACCAATTGGGTCTCTCCCTTTATCACCCATGGGGATGGTCTATAAGGTTTATAACTACTCCACTTGCTACAAGATGTTTACCTAGCTAATACTAGATTCGGCTCTATTCAAATTTTTCTAGTTCATCCCAACATTTTTTATTTGTTCAATTGTTGTTGAGTCTTGCGTTGACTCTTAATTTCAAATGATTTTAAATTAAAGCGTTGTATTTTTGAAGGAGTGTTTGGTTTGGTGATTGAAGGAATATGATGACATGATATAAGAGAGAGGCTATGCAATATATATATTGATTTTGAAGTGAGAAGTGTCAAATGTAGATTTCCATATGATGGTGTGTGATGCAAGTGTTGATGTAATTTCCTTTCTTCGAAATAATTTTAAAATTATAATGATTTGTTAATATCATTTTTTAAAGAAAAAATTTATTTATAGAAACCATAATAATATATTAATAAGATTTAAATAGGTACTTTATTTTAAAATGATAAGTCTCAATATAATCACATTATTCTGTATATAAATTTTATATATTCTATTTTATTATTGTTGTTCTTTATCACTAATTTTTTTATATTTAAAATATGATAATCTTGATAAGTGTTTTAATCGAAAATAAAGGACTTACATGAAGTCATATCATTTTTAAAAAATTATATAAAAAAATATGATTGTATATTGTTATTAGAAATGCCCACTTTGTTTTCCTTAAATACAAAATTATTTCAATCTAATCATCCCTCCGCTACCTTTACATTTTTTTTTTTTGGATATTTTTTTTAAAAAAATTCTTTTGAATGAATGGTGAGAGAAGGTATTTTTGTTAACACTCAAGGCAATAGGCTTAAGATTATTGATCTTGGAAAAGTCTCATCCAGTTCAGCTCGACGCTTCAAAAAATGGTTGGTTGACTGGGTTTGGACATCATTTTTGTAAATCGGCCTAGTTGAGTTTCTTTTTGTATATTATATGAATGATTTGATTTGCAAGGATCATGATTGTGAATTGTTTGATAGTCTTTATTTGATGAAGAGGTGAAATATAATCAATTTGAATCCTCTTACTACAAGATGCTTACCTAGACAACACTTAGATCCGGCTCTATTCAAATTTTTTTAGTTAACTCCAACATTTTTCATTTGTCCGACTGTTGTTGAGTCTTGTGTTGACTTTTAATCCCAAATGATTTTAAATTAAAGTATTGTTATATTTTCTATTTAAATAAACATATAATTTTAAAATTAGAGCTAAAATAAGTTATGAAAACAAATGCGCCTAACAATTTAATATTATGTAATTCCTATGAAAATATTATGTAATTCCTATGAAATATTTGTGCAATTGTATATAAACGCAGGATTTTCATTTTCTTTTCTTATTTTAAAGCATATGATTTCGAAACTGTACAATGATGCTCGGGTCAGGTCGAGTCAAAAGATTTGGGTAAATCTTTTAGAAAGATGTTTGGTGGCTCGAATTTTTGTGGTTCAAATGGTTCGAATGTATTAAAATGACGTCGTTTTATACTTAAAAAGACGTCATTTTGGGTGTTTTGAGTCATTCGAGTCATGTTTTTTCAGGTCACCTATCATTGTTGAATCTTTTAATAGTCATCGTTTTGGGTGTTTTGAACCCATTCGAGCCATGTTTTTTCAAGCCACCTATCATTGTTGAATCTTTTAATAGTCATGTCATTTATATCTCATTAGTACTGTCCTAATCTTTAACTGTTTGTCTTTTTTTTTATTTTATTTTATTAAATTTGAATAAAAATTTAAATATAAGTTTAATTTAATATCAAGTGTTCTAACGAAAGTTTTTAAAGTTTCATCAGAATACTGGTTGACTAGGCAAATGTCCAGCCTATCGACCAGCCTGTGTAATTTTTTCACTGACTTTTGCCTTGAGGCGATCATCCAGAGAGGCATCCAATGGTAAAAATTCAATGAATATGAACAGTATCCTCAATTTGATAAAAGATTTGATAAATCCTAAATTTGATAAAAGATTTGATGCTAAGTTGAAACAACAAAAAATGAATTTTTTTCATCAAATAAATTTGATGAACCATTTGGGGAACCATTATTGGAGATTGTCTTAAGGATTAAGTCTTCGTTTGGGAAGAGCTAAAATAACCTGACTTTTTGACTTTTTTGCTATTTTAGCCTAGCTTTTTTAGGCTCGTTTGGTTTTTGTTTTGGGCTTTTTTGATTTTTATGAGAGAAAAAGTGTAATGATTATAGTTTAGATGTAACACTTTGTCTTATTGACTTATGTAATCAATTTTATCTTTTGTAATTTTTTTAGTCAAAAAGTCAAAACCAAACATAGCTTAAGACTTAATATGTTATTTATTTAAAAATTATTGTAAAAGTTTAGAGCTGATTCTCTTCTCTTAGGGATTAGACTTAGAAAAATGATTTAGAGCTCTAATTCTTGAATTTTAAAATCAGTTTTAATGAGTTGATAGTGGGTCCCACCTACTGTGAGGCGATATTTTGATCTTGATTTTTTTTTTCCTCCTTGTGTTGTTATTAGTACATTATTACAATAACAAAATTAATACTCTGAATCATTACTGTTAGACTTAATATGTTATTTATTTAAAACTTTATTGTAAAAGTTTAGAGCTGACTCAAAGAGAATCATATCCACTCCATTGAAAGGTGTTACAAAATTAATAATCATCACATGTTATAAAATCTTAAACTAGCACGTGGGATTCAAGGCCAAAGACTAGATACTACGTACAAACTGTTGAAGCATGATTTTAACGTACAAACTGTTGAAGCATGATGTTGGCGAATAGAGAGACTTTCTTTTCAATGACACAGTTCTTGTTTGAATGTGAACTTTTGAATTAATGTCAAGAACATGGTCAATAATGTGGCTTGAAAAATAAATAATAATAAAAATGTTGTCGGTATGTTCCATTACATACACAAACCAGTTTTGTTTAGGGTTAATTACGCATTTTAGTTTGATTTAAATTTTACTTTAATTTTTATAATTTTAAATTAAATAATTTAATCCTTACTCTTTAAGTGTAGTTTTAATTTGGCTATTCCATCCAAATTACAAGTTAAAATTAACAATTATGAAATACTTGTCAATTTTCTAAGGGTGTGCATATAAACAAAATTAATAAAAAATTTAGATGGAAAGAACAAATTGAAATATAAATTGTAGGGGCTAAATTGTTCAAATTAAAAATATAAGAATTAAAGTGAAATTTGAGTTAAACTACTGAAGTGAAAAGTATAATTAACTTACGGATAAACTACGAATAGATCTTAATAGTTTGACTTAATTCCAATAAAGTTCTATTAAAAATAAGTCTTACTAAAATCGTCACTAAAAATAATTTTTTGTGATATATGTTTGCATGTCGCTAAAAATTGATAATTAGTGACTTAATTTTGGCACGATTTTTATAAATTTCCGCTAAAATTTACAATTAAAGACGTTTTTTTGTGACGAATTTTAAACTATTGCTGAAATTAAAAATTAATTACTTTTTTGTGACGATTTTTTTAAACTGTCGCTAAAATTTATAATTAATGATTTTTTTCCCCTACCAATTGGGTCCCTGCCTTCGCCACCCCATGAGGATGGTCTACAAAGTTCATAACTACTTCTTTTACTATAAGATGCTTACCTAACCAACACTTAGATCCGGCTCTACCCAAAATTTTCTAGTTTACCCCAATATTTTTCACTTATCGGACTGCTGCTGCTGAGTTTTGCACTAACCCTTAATCCGAATTGATTTTAAACTAAAATGTTATTGTTATATTTTCTGTTTAAAATTAAAGCTAAAATAAGTTATGAAAACAAATGGGCCTAACAATTTAATATTATGTAATTCCTTTGAAATATTTGTGCAATTGTATGTAAACACAGGATATTCATTTTCTTTTCTTATTTTAAAGCATATGACTGCGAAACTGTACAATGATGCTCGGGTCAGGTCGAGTAAATCTTTTGATAGTTATATCATTTACATCTCATTAGTACTGCCCCTCTAAGGGCAGCTTCAACGATTTATTTTTTTTTTATATTACATTTGAGAAAAATTTAATATAAATTTCATTGGATATCAAGTGATACGAAGAATGTTTTTAAAATTTCA